TTGAAGTGACCTGGGTTAGGGCCACTGTGGAAGGAGGGAAAATAGAAGAGTTAGGAAGCCCAAGAGATACTGGTGGGTGCCTGTGGAGACAGCTTTGGTTTTTCACCATTGGGAGCATTGATCAAAGATAAAAAATTAAAAAAAAAATCCCATTGGTCCTGTGGCCACTTAGGGCTGTTCCTGAACCTCTTTTCCCTGAAATTACTGTAGGGAGGGCTATAGGCCCTGCTAGTCATTAAGGACTACTTCCACTAACTTTGGTAAAGCTTTAAGTGGCTCAAGAAAGTTAGAAATTTGAGGGAGGATAAAAGACCAGAGTCAGTTTCATCTAAATTGAAATTTTCTTTTTTGGCATGTGCTTTCTTTACATTTCAGTAGATATTTGGTTGTGTCAAGGCATACTTGAGGATTAGGAAAGAAAAAAAAGGCTTTAATTGGTGAAAGAATGTTCAATTTAAAATGCTTTTGCTTAAAAAAGTGGGAGAGGATAGCAGTTCTGGAATTATTGAAGAAATACAGGGAATATGTCAAAATCCATGGGAAATGTCTCTATATAAAGAATTCAGCTTACCCTCCCCATCGGTGGGTATCTTGTCAGGGATCCTAGTGACTTCTGGACTGAATCTTTCAGAACAGACTTTTGTAGCTAAGCTCTTCTGAGCTGTCTGGCGCATCTATGTATATATATGCCTCAAGCTAGGTGTTTGGATACTAAGTGACAAGTTCTTCATATCTAAAATTGCAAAGCAAATGCCAGCAACTGTTCTAGAGTGTTTCACAGTCCATAAGTTATACTTGCTTGATAAATGAGTTGATCTAACTAAAATTTACCCCCACCCTTTACAGAAGCCATTTTCTTTTAAAATGCAAGGTCTTATTTCCCCAAGTATAAATATATAATGTAAATTATTGTATGATTATTGAAATAAATAAATATGCATTTCTCTGGCTTGATATCAGATTCCATTTGGGAGGCCTCCATCCTGGTCTAGGGGCAAGAGTGATAGTTGGGTTCTCAGCTCATCTGGGAGACTCATTTCCTTCCTTCCTCTGTTACTTACTTGGAGACCTCGAGAAAGTTATGCCTCCCATGATTGTGTCTTTCTTAATTGTCAGAATGGAGACAGGACCTAGCTCATAGAGTAGTGAGGATTAAGTGAGAATATACACTAAGCAATTAAGACAGTATATGGTGGGGCTGGGAATGTGGCTCAAGCGGTAGCTCTCTCACCTGGCATGCGTGCGGCCCGGGTTCGATCCTCAGCACCACATACAAACAAAGATGTGTCCGCCAATAACTAAAAAATAAATATTAAAAAATTCTCTCTCTCTTTCTTTTCAACAGTATATGGTTCATGAACTATCCAGGTGCAGAACTAATAAGAAAAATATGGGTTACTAGTTATTGTGTCATTGGGCTTTTCTTCTAAAATTTTGCATACCAGTTTAAAAATATATTTGATGGAATTTTTTTCATACATATTTTTTAAAAAAGTGTGCTATCTTATTATAGCAAAAACTTTTTTTTTAAATGAAAAACACCATAGCAATCCTGGGGATCATATAACTAGAATAGCCTTTTGTGCACCAAAAAACTCCTGTATTTTCTTAGCCAATATGATATTCAATAAGTTTATTGTGCTATGTAAAAAATGCTCACTAAACTATACCATATGCCGCAACTTTTTAAAGAATCCTAACATCATCACAATTTTGTAAAAAAAAAAAAAAAAAGAAATAGAAAAATATTGATACAGCATATTAATACATGATTCTATTATTGTGAAAAAAGGCAGTATAGTATTAACCACTTTACTACCAAGTCTTCATGCCTTTGTAGATATGAATTATTTTAGTATTTAGGATAGTATGAATTATTTTAGTATTCGGTATTGTACATTGTAAGGAGATATGGGTGTGTTTATTGAAAACTAACGCAGATAATAGGTATTTTATGTAGAATTTATCATTATCAGTATTTAATAATGTGTACCTTCAGATCATTAACATTTGTTTTATTTAGTGTTTTACAATTGCCTTTATTGTTTTTTAGCTATCTTTTGGTCTTTGTAGGCTTATGGTCTAAAAAAAAAAATACATAATGAAAAGAAAGTTATTTTTCCAGTCTGACTCCAATTCTCCATTTCCTCTAGAGAATCAATGCCTGTCAGCATTTTCTTGAATCCTTTCAGAAATATTTTTAATACCTTTATTTCACTTATTTATTTTTATGTGGTGCTGAGGATCAAACCCAGGGTCTTGCACGTGTGAAGCGAGAGCTCTACCACTGAGCCACAACCCCAGCCCCATCAGAAATATTTTATAAACATGCAATAGATACCACTTCCCTCCCACTTCCCTCCATACTTACTTTTCTTTATTGGAATTGAACTCAGAGGGTTTCAGCAAGCTATATCCCCACCCCTGAAAGATTTTTTAAAATTTTGAGATAGGGTCTTGCTAAGTTTCTCAGGCTGGCCTGAAATCTGCCATCCTCCTGCCTTAGCCTCCCGAATTGCTAGGATCACAGGTGTGCACCATCACATCTGACTTCAAGAGTATATCTTGAAGGGCTGGAACTGTAGCTCAGCAGTAGAGCGCTTGCCCAGTATGTGTGAGGCACTGGGCTTGATTCTTAGCAACACATAAAAATAAACAAATACAGGCATTCTGTCTATCTACAACTACAAAATGATAAATAAATAAATAAATAAATAAATAAACAAATAAATGAGCATCTCTTGAAGATCATTTTGTATTTTCTCATTTGTGTCATTTATATGCTAAAAATAAAAAGCATAACACTGTATGGGAAAATTGATTTTTTTAAAAAAAATTTAGTTGTAGGTACACACAATATTTTTATGTGGTGCTGAGGTTTAAACCCAGTGCCTCATACATGTGAAGCAAGTGCTCTACCACTGAGCCATAATCTCAGCCTAGCAAATTGCTTTATGATTAAGTTTATATGCTATTTTTGCCTTATTATGGGAGAACAAAAATATTTTATATAATTATCAGATGATGTAAATATCAATAGGCATGGCTAAATAATAGAACCTCACCTTATTTTTGATCATTTCAAATGCAAAGTCAACACAAGGACTGTTAATTTGCAGCCTTCGGTGCAGGATAGATACTAAAATTGGACCACTATTTTTAAAACGTGAAGCAAGAGATAGAAACAATTTTGAATAGTGGAAAGGACATATAAGATGACCAAGACCACAAAGATTCAGAGTCAGCCACAACAGGAATCACATTTTTCAGTCCTGGGGAATTATGCTCAGAAAGCCTACTAAGGCTATTTAATTACATTCAATACAAAATTACTATGTCTATAAATAGTTTTAACTACAGAAAACCTAAGAGTGAGAATTCAATAAAATGAGTAATGCTAAGATGTAAGGGAGTAAAATCCCTTTTTCCCTCTTCACTCATTTGAAGTCTTCTAATTTTTAAAAAAAGTGTAAAATTAAGTAGTGGGCAATGGAATATTTTTTTAAAAATTTAATTGTACATTACATTAGAACCAGCACCCCCCTTTTAAAAGATAGAAATCTATTATTTTGAAAGAACACCTAAATTTTAAACAAGTTGGTGTACAGATCCTAAATGACAAATGAATTCTATTGTTTGAGAGGTCTGAGAGTAATTTAATATGATTTAAAAATAATCAGTGATAAATTTCAGTGAATAGATTATTTAAAAAATTGATGTGCTTCCCTTAAAATTTTAGGGATATCAAGCCTTTTATATAAATATAGTTAAAAGTATGTAAGATTTCCTACAGCTTTGAGCCCTGCCGTCTTACAAAGCACAAATTTTCATTTATTTTCTGAAGTACCTATCAATCTGATATAACTGGTATACACAAGAGGAATGCCATGTAATTTGTGCTCATCTTTAGCTTTACTCTGAATATACAAGCCACTAAATAATTTAAAAAGTGAGTTGCACTGCTACATAGCAGAAGTCTTAAGAATGTAATTCTACTTTTAGATAATTATTATAAAGAAAACATGGATATGAGCAAAGATTTTTCTACAAGGGTGTTCATTGAAGTATTATAACAAAAATGGGAAGCAATGCATATACCCTGAAATTTCAAAGAGATCTATCAAATTAATTACGATATAGTATATGTGACCATTAAATATCATATTGATAATATGAAAACAAACTGATAATGTGTCTGTCCACACCTATAAAAAAGGTTTTAAGATAGTGTGCTCACATTTTTCACCCCTTAGCAAAGGTACACATGGCTTAGAAAGTAAACCAGAAAGAAAGATAGCAGAAAGATATTAGGTTATATTTCTAGATAGTAGAATTATGAGGTTTTAAATGTTCAGTTTGGGGCATTTGTTAGCAATTACTCTCTATGAGGAACACCACCTTCTTACTTTCTTACAGCCTCATATTACAGATTTTTTTCCCCCTCTGAGTTTGTCTTGCCTGCTCAGTAAGAAGGGCCCCGCTGCCCTGAGAAAGGCCTAACACAAGGAAGGCAAAAGGATGTGGCAGAGTCTGGATTATTTTAAAGCTAAACATTTCAAACTACAAACGCCAGCCCTAGGGGAACAGACTTGAACTTCCTTTACCCTTTTTGTGGACATTATTTATTTCTTCACAGCTTCCTTTCTGATCTCTTCCTTTACATTTATAAATGTTATACTTTTCTCAAACTTGAAATGCTGATTTTGCTGAATTAGTAGGATAAAATGTAAATGAAAATTATAGAGGCTATCGAGAAACGCTTGTACCCTGTGAAAGCAGAGGGTATGAAGAATGTGCGTCCCTATTTGTGTCTAGGTTACTGTTTGCAGGCCTGTCTGGGAAGGGGTTGCTGGGAGACCTACCTGCTCCCTTGGTTCCTTGTCAGCCAGACCTTATGGATGATTTCTTATACCCTCCCTTCTTGTGTCCTCCCTCTGTACCTTATATTGCTTAAATGCTTCCAAAGGGCTAATATTCTTTTCATTATTTGCTTTTTCTAGATAAAAAGTCCTGAAGTAGTCTTTCCTGTCCAAAGATGGAAAATAGTACCACTACCATCTCTCGGGAGGAGCTTGAAGAACTGCAAGAAGCATTTAATAAAATAGGTATGCTTGTGGAAGAGGAAATGTGCTGTGACTGTTCTGCTTGATGTCAGATTTCAGTAGCAGAACAGTACATTTTATTTCTTCTGTTTTCACTAGTGATCCTCAGGTTTATTCCTTTTCCCCCACCCCCCCTCTATCTAGGTTTCACTGGATTCTTTCATTCTGAGAGATAAAATAAAGACTGGCTTGAATTTCTAGATGAAATGGACTTTGAATTCTTAGATCACTTCTTTGCATAGCATAATCTAGGTTAATGAATGACAGTGTAACTGAATATGCTTAACTGGTATCCTCATTACAGTGAAAAAAAACATAGAAACACTTCCTTGAGTATAAGCTGAACTCTGTCCTTCATGTCTTTGTCACTAGCAGTAGTGACACTTCTTGACTGCATGCAGCATGTTTGGAAAATCTAGTGTTGTTTTTAAAGGTCATGTGCCTTATTTTCCTTCTCACGCATAATTTAAAAAATTTTAGTATTGTTTTTAAAGGCTGTATGTCTTGTTTTTCTTCTTTTGCTTTTTAAAAAGCCACTGTTTTGTCTTTATGACATGAACATCTTGACAGCTTTTTATTTTTATTTTTTTAAAAAATACATATTTATTTGTAGATGACAGAGTGCCTTTATTTTATTTATTTATTTTTATGTGGTGCTGAGGATTGAACCCAGCTCCTCACGCGTGCTAGGGAATTGCTCTACCACTGAGCCACAACCCCAGCCCAACAGCTTTGTATTTTTCTTCCCCAATTTTTCTTCATACTTGGTTGGATCTCAATACTTCTGCATTTTCTTCTTAGATAACTTTTGGTAAACAAAGAGTACAACATAAATACCATTTTTTTTTGCCTTAGTCTACAAATATATGCAAAAGAAAGTTGAGCACCATGAATAGACTTTGGGATAGAGATGCCATCTCTGCCCCCTCCCCAACAGACATTTTCCCTTAGGCAATGAAGCACTCCAGGAAAATCCCGAGTCAGAGGGTACACCAGGGAGGATATAATGATCCCAGTTAGTCTTGCTCCTAGATTTCTCATCAACGTAGTGAGTAATGACTAAAATTAATGTAGGTGAAATGCAATGCAGGATGAATTTTAGAAAGCAATACAAAGAAAAGAGATTTTATTTTAATAAGCAAAGTTTTTTTAAAAATAAAAAGTAAAACCTCATGATTTACAAATCATTACTGTGAAATAAAGCAAATTCTATAATTCTCTGGGCTCTTCTCCTCCTTCCTGGGGATGGCATATTTGTCATTAGCACACTGCATAAATAGGTTATAATTCCTAGAAAATTATTAATTATAGGTTTTATGCAGTATTGTATAAATGCCCAGAATCATTTCAAGACACAAAGTGGGCAGTTATTGAAAAGTTCTGTTTATTACAGGTACTGAAACAGAAAAGATAATAAACATGCATCTCCTAGCTTGGTATTCCAGTTATTTTATAGGTATAAATAAAAGAGCTACCTAGGTCTTAGTGAAATGAATGAATTAGTAATCTATGTTCTTTCTTTAACACACCAACTTAACCTTTATGACTCATGGACATATAATCTTGCAATATTTATTTAATAATATTTTGAATAAGCAGTTCACTAATGGAATAACTCTGACAGCAGAGTGTTTTGTTCTGTGTGAGGGAGCTGCCAACACTAGAAGAATATGTATTTGCTGACTTTATTTACAAGGTAAACTGTGACTCATGTACTCAGCAAGCCCTTGCTAACTTGTACATTACGAGTTCTTTCAGATACAGAGGAACACACCCATCCAACCTTATTAGATGGAGGATTTGGGGACTACTGGAGAAAGTGGGGAGTTAAAATATTTCTAAGTCTTGTTTCTTTTGTTTTCTTTTTACATTCATGGTAAAATAAATGTAATCAAAGTTACCACTCTATTTGTAGTGTATAGTTTAGTGGCATTAAGTATATTCACATTGTTTTGTATATGACATCACCATCCTTTTCTGAAACTCTTTTCATCTTCCCATGCTAAAACTCTAGAACTAGTAAATAGTAATTCCCCATTTTACTCTCCCTTAGTCCCTGGTAAATAATATTCTTTCTGGCTGGATGAATTTTACTGCCCTGGGTACTTCCTCTAAGTGGAATCATATAATATTTGTCTTTTTGTGACTGGCTTATTTCACTTACCCTGATGTCTTCCAGGTTCATCGAAATAGTGTGTATCAGAATTTCCTACCTTTTTATGGCTAAAAAGTATTTCATCATGTATATCTATATATAACTTTTTCTTATCCATTCATTGATGGCCATTTGGTTTGGGTCTATGTTTTGGCTATGGTGAATAGTGCTGCTGTGAACACAGTTATTCAGATATCTGTGTGAATCCCTGCTTCCAAGGCTCTTGAGTTATACCCAGAAGTAGAACAGTTGGACCATATGGAAATTCTATATTTAATTTTTTTGGGAAATATCATATTATTTTCCATAGTGGTTTCACCATTTTATATTCCCACCAGCAGTGTCCAAGTGTTCTAATTTCTTCATATCCTCACCTACACTTGTTTTTTATTGTTGTTCTTATTGGTGGCAGTGGTATTATATTTTATCTTATAACAGCTACTTTCAGGGATGTGAAGTGGAATTTCATTGTGGTTTGTGCTCATATTTCCCTAAGAATTAGCAATGTTGAACATATTTTCATGTGCTTATTGGCCATTTGTTTGTTTCTTTTTTGGGGAGGGGGTACCTTGGATTGAACTCAGGGGCACTTGGCCACTGAGCCACATCCCCAGCCCTATTTTGTACTTTTATATAGAGACATGGTCTCAATTAGTCGCTTTGCTGAGGTTGGCTTTGAACTTGTGATCCTCCTGCCTCAGCCTCCTGAGCTGTTGGGATTACAGGTGTGCACCACTGTGCCTGGCTATATTTGCTTATTTTTGAATAAGGTTGTTCGCTGTTGTTGATACTTGGAAGAAAGTCTTGTTTCTTTTAAAGTCATAATCTTATGGTTAAATAACCATAAGATAAGGTAAGTCATGTTCTTAGTAAATAATTTGGCACAGAATATGTGCTTACTAAATGGTATCTATTAGTTCTTGTAATATCACACCAAAACTGCAGAAGCTGTAGGGATGGAGCTGGCATTTGAGCACCCAGACTTGTTCATCTTCAAAGCTGTGTGTCCTTACTGTTCATTTTAGTTCAGCATGATTGTTGGCAGGTAAATAACTTCCTCAATCTTTTTTTATTTTCCAATACTTCCCTCTATACTGCTGGGATGGCAATAAGTCAATGTGGTCTATTTATAAACTTCAGAATTATGGGAAGCAGTTCTGAACTCCTGCTGTACTAATAATGAAGTTTTGCTTCTAAATTCAAAGAAAGCAGCATTATTACAATACCAAGCAATTCAGCTTCCTAGCTGCCTTGGGATTATAGCACTATATTGGTTACCGGTGATGCTAGTTTAGTTCATCATTCTGAGGAGTATTCTAAAACTCTCATATTTGAGTTTTAAAGATAAGTACTTGGCCATATCATTAATTCAGTTACAATGATGAGAGCTCTTTTACTGGGAAGAAAAAAAATATGGGTAACAAAGTAGCTATTGCCAGATGAACAAAGAGGGCCTGTACAAGGTGGACCCAGGCAACAAGCAAAACAGTCCATAGCTCTGTTGCCAACTCTGGGTATAAGTGTTTTGTGTTGCCTTTGTTCTGAATCAAGAAGTACTCTCCAGGCCTTAGGAAAACACAGGAAAGAGATCTCAGTGATAATGTGAAAACACCTGGAAACCTGCTTCCAAAGTCCAAATATAGGTGTGAAATATCTTGACAACCCGATCTCATAGTGACATCAGAATGATTCAGCATACATAATGGTATCATAAATACATAATGAAGACCCAGTGAATTATTGACAAATGAAATGAACTGCCACCAAATGAAATGTAAAACAAAAATACTTGAGGAGTATTTTATATAATGTACCTATTTTATGTGCGTTGTGGGACCAGCAGATTCATTTTTTAAATTCCATTAAGTTAAAGTCTGGATGGGTGTTCCCTCTTGGTCACACTGATATATATATATTAGATATATATGTATATATATTAGATATCTGAGACTTCCCAGCTTATTTCTTTGAAATTTAGTCATGTTTTAAACTGAGTTTCCCATCTAGGCACTGTCTATACCATACACTTAATTTTTTTTTAATATTTATTTCTTAGTTTTTGGCGGACACAACATCTTTGTTTGTATGTGGTGCTGAGGATCGAACCCGGGCCACACACATGCCAGGCGAGTGCGCTACCGCTTGAGCCACATCCCCAGCCCCATACACTTAAAATACATGTAGGGAACCTGGTTCTATACAGATGAACCTCATTTAAATGTGAGTGTTTTGATATCCTGTACAGTTCAGGTGCAACTATACGAGTATGTATGTATGCCTGTGAATCCTCCAAGTGGCTTTCTGAATATTCGTCTTCAGCAGCACAAATGATATTTGACATCTCTAAATATATCTTTGCAGATATTGATAACAGTGGGTATGTTAGTGACTATGAACTTCAGGACCTATTTAAGGAAGCAAGCCTTCCTCTTCCTGGCTACAAGGTACGCGAGATTGTGGAGAAAATTCTAGCAGTTACTGACAACAACAAAGATGGCAAAATCAGTTTTGAAGAGTTTGTGTCAGTAAGTAATCTAATTCTCTCCTAGTTACTATTCATTTTACTTCAAGCAGAATTTTAATAATGTCATTGCTAGCTTTAGTTAGATCTAGCTGGAGAGGCCAGAAAATCTAACATTTTTAAATGATGGTAACACTACTACTAATTATTATTGTAAAAATAATTTTCATAAAAAATTCAAAAAGCAAAGGAAAAGGGGCTGGGGCTGTAGCTCGGTAGTAGAGCACTTGCTTACCATGTGTGAGGCACTGGGTTCAATTCTCAGCACGGTGCATAAATAAAATGAAGGTCTGTCAACAACTATAAAAAAAAAAAAAAAGGAAAATATCATTGAATGGAAGTCCGGTTTAGTAGTAGTTCATGTCCTACAATAACTATATTGAATTATTTTTTATTATCCATGAATATAATTGAATAAATACTTATGAAATATAAATGATCTGTTTTTGCATTCCTCATTTGAGCTCTTGGCACTGTGAATAATGGGATGAGCAAAAAGAGACATGGTTCTTGCTTTCATGGAGTTTACATGTGGTTGGGAATGCAGAATATCACATAACTAGATAAATGATATCAGCTATGATAATTGCTATGAACAGTGTGGTGCATGTTCCATGAGAGTTTGTAAGTAGAAGGAATTGAACTTTGAGGGGAGGCTGGAAAACTCAGGGTCTCAGGAAAGGCATCCCTGTGAAGACCCAGCTGAGATCTGAAGAAAGATATTAAATAGAAAAAGGCTGTTGGGAGGTAGAGGTGACCACATTGCTTAAGAGTAACCACAGGTGACCCTGTGGTTACTCTTAAGCAATTGAAAAAAGGGATAGTATGCTGCAGCTGAGGTAGTATGGATAAGGATCATAGCTGGAAAACTCAGATCAAGTCATGACAGCTCTTAATATATCCTGGCAGATATTGATAACAGTGGGTATGTTAGTGACTATGAACTTCAGGATCTATTTAAGGAAACAAAACGTCCTTGTAGGATATTGGTTTTTATCCTAACAACAGGAAGTTAAGGGAAGGAAGAGTATGAGGTGACATGATTAGATTTGCATTAACAACAGCAAATCCCTGGCTGCTACCTGGAGAAATGTCAGCCTCTTCGATCTCTGAATTGTCCAATAAGAGAGATGAAGAGAGGGTGTTTCTATAAGCCTGTTATTTCCTGCAATATCTGACATGTTTACTTTAACATGTATTCATTTGGAATATTTAGGTAGGAAAATGCCTTCATTAAGGAATTTAAAAATATTTATCATGTGGTTAGTTATTCCTTAGATTTTCAGTACAAAAGATCATGGCAAATCCAGAAAATAATTTCGGTGTGTTCAATTTAAGCTTAGTTTTGACTTGTTCCAGTGGTTGGCAGGGGGGCAGACATTTATTCATTTTTTGATTTTGATAAAATGACATGAAAGTTCTCTTTGTTCACAAGCATTCAATATGAAAACACTTGATTCATATTTATTTTTGTGTCATTTCAAATAAACATCTTTTATTTCACCAGATTTTTATGATTATCTGATTCTCAATTTTGCTTGTATTCCATTCTAGCTAATGCAAGAGTTAAAAAGCAAAGATATCAGCAAAACATTCCGAAAAATAATTAACAAGAGGGAAGGGATTACTGCTATTGGAGGAACTTCATCCATTTCCAGCGAGGGCACACAGCATTCTTACTCAGGTAACAACCACCCCAAATCTGATCTTTTAGGCATTGATTCAGTAAGTGCCACACTTCAACAAACCTAAGCTGCCATTTGTTTTAATTCATACCATTATTTTGTCTATCATTGAGGGGAAAAACCTTCCTCCAGACTAAATTATGCTGTGATTTCAAATTTAAAATATATCTCAGTGTCAAAATGAAAATATCCTAGAATCACTGATATCAACGAATTCCAACCATGTTGTCAGGTTCAGTGGACATCAGAGAGACAACAGACATCGAAAACAACAGAATGAAAGTTGTTTATGTTTGAGCACTGGCTATGTTTTATCATGACTTTTGAATGGATTTTTCATCCTGACTAGAAAGGTGGCTTTACTTTTAAAACTTATTAAAGGCTTATTTTAAGGATTTTTTCCCCTTCTATTTTCCAAAAGCTGAGCTTTTTGACTTTTTTTTTTTTTTAAATCAAGCAACCAAGTGATTAGAGAGCACGGTACTTGATTTCCTTGATCTGATAGAACCACTGGATTGTTGCCCAGTGGGAAATCCAGAGTCATTTTAACTCTTACGGTGAGGAGTCTTGGCCCATGTTAAGCTTACTTCTTAGGGTTAAGATGTCTAAGAACCCTTGGCCAAGTTCCTTTTTATTCATATGAACATAATTAGAACTATGCTTTTGATAAAATTCCTTGTAACATTTTTCCTTTGAATAAAGGAATTTGTTAATTGTCCTCTTGATCCTCTTCCTTTATAATTGGATTTTCCTCTTTCAGATTTCGCCTATCCATTGTATTTTTTCTTAACCATTTCCCACTAGGGAATTAGTGGTAAAGGAATTAGTCTGTAACTGATACCTCCACTTTTGTTGTTTCTTTGTTTTGTGGCACAGGGGATTGAACTCAGGGCCTAGCACATGCCTACTAGTACTTAGCTATACCCACTGTCCTTTCTATTTTGTTTTGAGATAGGATCTTATTAAATTGCCCAGGCTGGCCTTGAACTTGTGATCCTCCTGCCTCAGCCTCCTGAATAGTGGGATTATAGTGCACTACCATGCCAGAAAGATATTAACCTTTTACCTCAACTTTGGCTTGTCCATTCTACTGAAATGACTATATTTTAAAAAGAAAACAAAAAACATTGAGGTAAAATATGCATTCAGCCAAATGCTGTAATTGTAAATACATAGCTCAAAAATGTTTTACATGTTTATATATCCATGTGGCTTCCTGCCAGATCATTATATGGAATATTTCCATCATCCTGTGTGGGTTTCTCATGCCCCTAATAGTAGCTATTTCTCCCCAGAGATAAATACTTCTCTGATATCTGTCACCACAGATTTTTACCTGTTTATTGAGATATAAATAGTAAAGTGCATAAAGTAGACTTTTCTTAACTTGATGATTTAAAAAAATTTTTTTAGTTGTACACAGACATAATACCTTTATTTTGTTTATTTATTTTTTATGTGGTGCTGAGGATTGAACTCAGTACCTCACATGTACAAGGCAAGTGCTCTACCACTGAACTGCAACCCCAGCCCAACTTGATGACTTTTAGCAGATGAATACCTCCACCTATTATGTAGAAAAAGATATAGAACATATAATGGCTTTTAAAAAAACAGCTTTAGTGAGATATAATGGTGATATTGAGAAATGCACCCTTTTAAATTATATAATTCAGAATTTTTAGTATATTCAGAGTTGCACAATTATCATCATACTTCATTTAAAAATATTTTCATTACAGAGGGATAAACTCCAAGATCCTCAGCAGTTGTTCCTCATTTCCCCCTCTCTGAAGCCTCTGCAACCATCACCCTACTTTGTGTTCCTATAGATTTGCCTATTCTGGAAGTTTCATATAAATAGAATCATTGCAGTGGCCTTTCCATTGATAGGCATTTCTTCACTACCATTTTTCAAGGTTCATCTATGTTATAGCATATATCGTACTTCATTCCTTTTTTCTGTTGAACATTCCATTCTGAGGATAACATCACATTTTGTTCATCCTCTCATGAGTTTATAGACATTTGGGTCGTTCTCAGTTTTTGACCATTATGAATAATGCTGTGTGAACACTCATGTATGTGTTTTTTTTGTGTGGATATGTGCTTTCAGTTCTCCTAAGTATCTGCCTAGGAGTGGAATTGTGGATCTTTTGATATCTCTGTTTAATATTTTTAATTTAAAGAATTGGCAAACTGTTTTTCAAAGTCACTGTACTGAAAAAAAAAAAAAAAAACAAAGTCACTGTACTGTTTTTCATTTCCTCCAGCCACATATGAGGTTTCTAGTTTTTCACATCTGTATCAACACTTGTTATTGTCCATTTAAAAAAATTACATCCATCTTAGCAGGGCCCAGTGGTGAAGGCCTATAATTTTAGCACTTCAGGTGGCTGAGTCAGGATAACAAGTTTGAGGCCAGCCTTGGCAACTTAGCAAGACCCCTATCTGAAAGTAAACAATGAAAAAGAGCTGAGGATGTTGCTCAGTTATAAACTGTCCCCTCTATGGCAAAAATAAAACAAAGGCCATTGCAGTGTGTCATTTCTTATTCCTCTACCTGGAACATTTTCCCTTTTTCTGCCCATTTTTACCTGCTGATAGCCTTCCTTTCAAATAGTGCTTTTGTTTTGTTGCTGTTTGTTTTGAGATGATCTCACTGCCCAGGCTGGTCTCTTACCTCAGTTTCCTGGAGAGCAGAGACTACAGGCAAGCGCCTTGCACACAGCTCTGTAAATCTTTATTGATCAATACAAACACAAGTGATTATTTCCTTCTTCAAACCTTTAAAACATTGCATGTATATGTGGTGTATATATTTCCCTTATGTGTCATTTCTTAGGATATTTGTTTTATCATTACACTATAATCTCTTGATGGTAGGTATAGTATCTTAGTGATCTTTAAATCCCTAGACTCTTGAGTCCTTCTAAGGAGATCCTGGTGGGACAAGTAGATAAGAAGGCACATGAGGATATGTACAAAGGAGAAATACTGATGATTTTTTATGTTTTTACTGACTGTATAGATGGTGGATTAAATTTTGAGGGTACCTGCCAGATATACCCTTAGGAAAATTACCTAATTCTGCTAACTCTGATGGAAAGAGAGATTAATCACTTTGAGGATTTATATTGTTAAATAATTTTATATTTACAGAATAATAATAAATCTGTAAAACGTTTTTACTTCAAGTTCCTTCCTATTTTCCTTATTAAATAGCACAACAACACTTTCTGAAGATTAATGTACCCATACTATAAGCCATGTATTGAGAAGTCAATGATGAAGATGACTAAGAGAGTGCTGGTATCTAGATTTGTGACAATTTTCACAGAAATGGAGTTGTTTTATTCATTTGAATAATCTCCTGTCCTCTCCTTCCATTTTGTGGTGCTGGGGATCCAACCTAGAGCCTTACTCATGCTAAACAAGAGCTCTACAACTGAACTACATCTCCAGCACTAAACAAATCTTGATCGAATTCAGTATTTATTTTGTAAACCAAAAATATTTTTAGGGGGTGGAATTTATTATAATGGATCTTTGTGGGTTTTTCCCCCTATTTAAGTATCTATCTGTGTGTATATCTGTATTTGACCTCTGATGTTTTGCTGCTGATTCATTAGGTTTCAGAAGCAATACATATTTGGAAAGATTTTAGAATCAAATCAAATGTCGTGCTCTTTTAAAATATATACCTTCCTACCTTCAGCACTAATATTTTAGATGAAAAAGTAGAATGAATTTCCCTTTATCCCTTTCTTCCACATTTAGTGTTTTAGTAGAATTTTATTAATAGTCATCTGATATCTTTAAACATAAATTAAAAAGTATGTTTTTGTAGTGTTTGATAAACTTTGTAAAATGTGCTTTGCCTATCAAAATTTTTTGTTTCTAGAGGAAGAAAAAGTGGCTTTTGTTAATTGGATAAACAAAGCCCTAGAGAATGACCCTGACTGTAAGCATCTTATACCTATGAATCCCAACGATGACAGCCTTTTCACATCTCTTGCAGATGGCATCCTTCTCTGGTGAGTCGAACGTCTAGTTACAGGAGATTGTTCTTAACTGTCCCTCTTGATGAGCATTCCTTGACAACTACAATTCAGCAAATCTGTGTTCTTTTGGAATTAGTGGGTACTTGCAGGTCTTGTAGGATTTGTACTGCATAGAAAATTAAGTACTATATGTTTTCTGACATTTTCCATGCAGTCCCTTATTTTCCTGTTATCATAGTAATCCAGGAAAGTTTTGAGTTGATACTTAGAGGCATTTTAAAATGTTTACATTGTCACAATTTTTTTTTCCTGATAAGGGAGTATTGACTATTCACTGGGACAGGAAGATGATCAGATGTAAAAGGAAGGTACATTTTAGTTGTATATAAATGAAAATAATGTTTTAAATTGATCTTGGATCTTTAGTCTATTCTGTTCATATACCATAAACTTTCTAAGTGTGTTTTGTATTCCCAGCATACTTCTTTATACAAAGTTTTTTTTAACTCTATGAAAATACCAAGGAACTTCCAAAGAAGCAAATAGCCATCAGAAATATTCTTACCACCCATTGTTAACAATTATTAACAATTTCTTTAGTTTTTTTCTGTATATTTACTTTAAAAAAACCAACTCCTATCCATAAGTATAAGTTATTAATGTTTAGGTCATTATGTGAAATATATACTTCAACCTCTGCCTGCAATTCTGATCTCTTCCTCTGGCCTTTGGAGAATTTCCTAGTGTAAATTAAATATATTCTAAAAGAAACAGACAACACTCATATTATTTCTTTAAAGATGTCTGAATTGTTGAAGTCCTAGAAAGACAAAGTTCCTGGCTCCTTATCTTTCTGCAATAACAGTAATTTTAACAATCTTGATACTATTTCATGGAGCACTTGGCTTCTTGAGAATTTGTTTACATGCAATATTGATCATTAAGTAAAATAAAGAGTCACAAAAAGAAAATGCAAGATGGTTAAAATAATTGGGAGTAAATGCTAAGATTACTGCAATTATATATTTTAAGATAGGAAATATTTCTTAGATTTTAAAAACTGATATGATTATAAACAGTTTAAAGAAATTAACTATTATCTTCAAAATTTATTATGGTTACTTGCAAAATTAAAAAAATTTCTGGAATTTTAAACTAAATTATTCTCTTTTCTTTAGCAAAATGATCAACTTATCTGAACCAGATACAATTGATGAAAGAGCCATTAATAAGAAAAAGCTCACTCCTTTTACTGTTTCTGTAAGTATTTGTCCTTTGCTGGTAATATGTTACTATCGTATAAACTACGTATAAACTATAAGGTTTTTATTAATGGATAATTGGGCCCTGGTAAAACTTTTGATTTAATATAATTGTTTTCTTATAAAAACTTGGTTTTTATTAAATAAAAATTCAGCTGCATTTGGTAATAAGTAGAATTAAGATTCTAAGTACTTCAGGGCCAGGGTTGTAGCTCAGTGGTAGAGTGGCACTTGTGAGGCCCTGGGTTTGATCCTCCACACTACATGAAGATAAATAAATAAAAAAATAAAGGTATTATGTCTATCTACAACTAAAAAAAAAAAGATTCGATTCTGAGTATTTCAGGTAACTGTCTTTAAGTTACTTTAAGTTAATAGTATTCAACTTATGTTATTGTAATAATGAAGTTGTTAATGATTACTTGATACTATTTTTTTCTTTTTTTTTTCCCCCTGTGGTTCTGGAGCTTGAACCCATGGCCTCGTGTGTGCTAGGCAAGCCCTTTGCCACTGAGGTACACCCCAAGCCCTGATGCCAGAGATCTTGTTGGCTGGTTGTAAAAACAGCACTGCAAAGTTTTAGCATATCACACAATTTTTATTTTTTTTTTGTGCTGGATTCTTCTGTACTCAGCTTTTCTATACAGATCTTGTTGAAATCCAGAAATTTATAATTATAACTTTTCCCTCAAAATGTCTACATAAATGGGTGGATATTAAAATTTACTGACTACTTACTAGGTACCAGTTGTTATTCTAAACACACCATGTGAATTATCCCATTTACTCCTTCCTGTAACCTTATAGTAGACATGTACATGAATTTGTTGATGAGATAACCGGTCACTGACAGGCACACTGTGGAAGAGCCAAGGTATGATCCTAGTGGTCTCCAGAGCTCTTCCTCTTAATCATCATGCTGTACTGCCACTCTTATGTAGTGGTAGCAATAGCAACTATTTAATGTGTGGTCACAACAAAATTATTAAAATTGAATTACTGCTAATCGGTTTCTTCACTTTGCAAGTACAAAACTTGATTTTGCTCAAATTGTTAGATTTCTTCTTTTGGAAGCTAGGACCTCAGATCAGTGGTACATAGTTAGTCTTAGACTATTCAAGGGGTTTCCTCTTCCTGTTATTCTTGAGAAGTATAAAACTAGATGTTGACTATATCGCTTTATTGATTTCTCACTTGCCAGTAGGCCAATAATGTTGTATATCCCTAGTAAAAACTACCATTTTTAAAGAAGCCCATTTCTAATTGCAGTTGCCAGATCCTCTTGTGCTAGAATCTTCTCTTCAGCTAATAGCTGTGATTATTGAAAATATTCATATCCATCTTATTTTTAGAATACATGTGTCACATAAATTTTTATGGCACTGAATATGAAGTACAACATGTACAATATGAAACACAATATGAATATGAAGTACAACATTTCTTACTTTTTTATAAACTTAATTTGGTTTTAATTTTAATACATGTATGCAGTGCATTGAAAAAACAAAGAAAAATATTCTGTAAATATTTTGCAGTAGCTACAGAATGGATCTGAGGGGTTAAGTATTGTTCCTTTATTTTTAGAGATAAAATTCTTTTGGTAGCCTAAGCTTTTACAATGCTTGAAAGAGAGTACTAATATAGAATGAAAAAAGACTGAGATTTTGAGAAGGGGAAAGTGTTACCATGGATATTAACTCTGTCTTGTTTGTTCAGGATTTCAGAACTCAAGGAATAATCGATTTACTACAAAATTACTAGTTTCACATGGAATTTTATCCCAAAGAAGCCTAATTCATTTGTTGAAGATTGTAAGATTGTGTTAATAATGTTTTTCACTTTTTGATGTAGATTTATGTGATATATATATATATATATATATATATATATATTCATGTGATACATGAAAGAAGAAAAAGATAAGGAAAGGGTGAAGTAATGCATAGTAGTTATGAAAGCAGGGAAAAGGGCAGATCAGGTAAAGAAGAGGACTTGTAATTTTGGAGACTTTCTCACCTTTTTTCTCTACCCAGAGTACTACTGAACTGCATTCTTGTGCTTGTATATCATTATTGGGAACAATTAATTATGTGGATAAGACTCTCCGAAACAAAAGATAGTGATTTCAGGATCCAGAAAATCAGGAAACCAACATAAGACTAGCTATAGGAAGTTGAATCTGTTCGTTACCAAATGAAAAAGAAAGAAAGAAAGAAGAAAAGTTCAATGCAATGAATATATTCACATACATACCAAGTACATATGTTTGTACATTGTATACAAATGTACACATATATATGACCTTAATTTTATCTTGCATACATTACAGTTTAAACAGGAAAAAAATTATAATTCTCATTTGGATATTCCTAATGGAGTAGAAGTTATGTGATATAAAAATAAGGATGAAGTCTAAATAACAAGTCATGCCTTCTTTCTTATTAACTGAATAAGTATATAGCACAGCCCTCTAAATAGGGGCTGGAGTTGTGACTCAGTGGTAGAGTACTTGCCTAGCACACGTGAGGCACTGGGTTTGATCTTAGTACAACATAAAAATAAATAAAAGCATTGTGTCCATATACAACTAAAACTTTAAAAAAAATCATTAACAAAAGTGTATACATTTTGGAGATTCCTTGGAAAATTGGGAATGAAACCAGCTTTTGACCCAGTTATCCCCCTCCATGGTCTATACCCAAAGGACTTAAAATGGCATACTACAGGGACACAGCTACATCAATGTTTATTGCGGCACAATTCACAACAGCTGATCTGTGGAACCAATCTAGATGCCCTTCAATAGATGAATGTATAAAGAAAATTTGGTATATATACACAATGGAGTATTACTCAGCAATAAAAGAGAATAAAATCATGGCATTAGCAGGTAAATGGATGGAATTGGAAAATATCATGTTAAGTGAAGTAAGCCAATCCCCCCAAACCAAAGGCTGAATGTTTTCTCTAATATAAGGAGGCTAATTCATAGTGGGGTTGGGAGGGGGAGCAAGTGAAGATTAGATGAACTCTAGATAGGGCAAAGGGGTGGGAGGAGAAAGAAGGGAGCATGAGGGTAAAAAAGATGGTGGAATGTGATGGACATCATTACCCTAAGTACGTGTATGAAAACATGAATGGTGTAAATATACAAATATTTCTTGTTTGTATACAACAAGAAAAAAAGTATATACATTTGAAATTGAAACTTTATGGAAAAGGAAATTTGCAAAGTGGTATGAAGTTAAAAAAAACTTATAGTACATTTTTGAGACTGTTAGTGAAGACTTGGATAGTTAAATAATCACAATAGAAGGGATATGGGTCAAGGTTGTAATTCAGTGGTGGAGTACTTGCCTAGCATGTGTGAGGCACTAGGTTCGATTCTTAGCATCACATATAAATAAGTAAAAATAAAGTTCTATGAACAACTAAAAATTTTGTCTAAAAAAATAGAAGGGGTATAAAAAAATAAAAAAAAAATAGAAGGGGCATATAAGAAGTCATCTAAAAGAACAGTGTGAATTTTTCTACCTGGTAAAGTGGGCAGTTTCTTTGTCAGTTTACTATTGCACAGAAAAGATGGGAGAAAATGGATGGGTAATCCAGATAAACTGCCATGTTTCCTTGTTTCTTTTGTTAGTATTCCTGTTACATGTTAGGACACAAACACAGGGAGGAACACCTCTCTCGTATCCCATTTGTTTGTGGTTTCCCACTGTCCTTACCCAGAAAAAAGTTTGGGTACTCAGGGCAGTTGTCCATGGTAAGGTTTGGAGAGCAACCTCTTCATGAAGTTCTCCTGTTCTTGTTTTTTTAGATGTTTAGAAGTGGCTTTAGACAATAGTAGCTCTCCTATTCCCTACTAACAGTAGGGCAGTAAATTTTTATTTACCAGATAGAAACTACTGTTTATTTGAAAGATACACATTGCAACTTTTAAAATTTTTCTTTGTATTAATTACTTGTAAGACACCTTATATGCTTGTGTGCAGAGCCAATGTTTAAAAAAACACTACCAAAATACGATTCCCTCTTATATCCCCAACACACTACAGTAAGAGAAAAACACCACTTGCAAAACTTTAGCTATGTCTTAGAGCCGGGAAGGTGAGGGAAGTATTTGGGAATTGGAATTGTGATTTAAGGTGAGTTTTTCCTATGTGAGGGAAGTGCGAGAGGAGCTGGATTCAGGTTGTGTCAGCAACTCTATACAACAATCCAAGACTGGTGAGTAGAGTGACATGGAGAAGTTTTCAAGGTGAGGAATGAAAAAATATTAGGGTATATGTTGTCCACTAATGTTTTTCATTGGAAGGCTAATGGGTCTTTTAGGCAAAGCCTGCAATGAGCAATCAAATCTTTTGTCTTGGTTCAAGATTCCTGGAAGAATAACATTATGCTCATGAAGACAGAGGAACAGTAAAGTCAGTGAAGACAATGGAAATAGCTTACAAAGCCATATTAATGTAGATAATAGTGTGGTTTTGGTTGTCGGTGTCCAAGTTGAGAATAGTGGTCAAAAGTTTTGGTTTTTTACAATCAGCTTGGTGAAGTTACATACTTTTTTTGAATCCATTTCATATTGTTAAGGCATATGAATTGAGTTATTCTAAGATAGACTGAAATGATTCCAGTAATAGTCAATTTCTTCCCCCTGTTGATGCATTCTGGGGAATCACAAGTGGAGCAAACATCCTTTGTTCTCTGAAGAGAAAAGAGGTCAAGCCTAAATTTGTAGAAGCTATGACATGAAAGTTGTATTGATTTGATCTAAGGTAACTTAAAAACATCTGAAGCTATTAAAAATCTTCTAAGACTTCCATAGAATATTTTAACTTTACTCAGTGTTTTCATATTTATCATATTTATTTACTTGTGAAATTATAAAGTTGTTGAGGGATTCTCTGGTTCTGCTGCTTTCTGATGAACTATATTTAAAAGAACATTGCCACAGAAATAATTCCAAATGCTTCCTTTAATTACTCCTCATTGATCCCCAAGAGATAATGCCATTTATTCAGAGCCTAGCAAGATAAATTGCTTTAGTATATGTCATGAGAAAGCCACTGAAATATTTACTGTGCTTTGAAGACTCTATGCATAGTTGCTTTTGTTACCAGCACATTAAATAGTTGCTATTGCTATCACCACATGAGAGTGCCAGTACAGCACAGTGATTAAGAGGAAGGGCTCTGGAGACCACCTGGCTCATACCCAGGCTCCACCACTGTGCCTCGGTTTACTCACCTGTCAAATCCATCTTCAGAGTTACTTTAAAATTTTTCTGGAAATGAAAACTAATTGCACATCATTTTTACAAGAAGTGCTTTCAAATGGAGACTTTATTAGTGTTGGGTAATGATTTTTACTTTTATAAACTGAGAATAATAAAATTTCTAAAGCAATATGCCATTAACTATATTTAAACAGTGAAATTTTATATGAGTACGTTAATAGCTTCCTTCTTTTCACATATTTACAACTTAACTATGATATAGGGAAAGGAGTGACTAATTTCGTGTGGAAGAGGTTGTAGGGAAAGAAAATGCTTGAGGTGAGGAATGAGCATGCGACTTGAGGAAATGAAACATCACAGGTCAAAGGACTTTGTGTCTTGGCCAAACCATAGACTGTTTGAAGTACAGGGAGATGAGGCCAGAGTGAAGTCCTGAAAGTTTTTGATTTCCCTCATTAAGGATTCAAACATAAATCTTTTCTTTCCCTCCATACCTTCTTTCACTCTTACCCATTCATTCATGTATTCAGTAAATGTTTGCTGAGCAGATAAAATGTGCCTCAGTACTAGAAAACACATCAAACAGATCAAAGTACCTGTTGTTATAGAGTCCATACTCTTAGTTGGGAGAGATATAGCAAGAAACAAATATATGTCAGAAAAGGAGTAAAATAGGGGTAACTAGTACTAGCAGGGGCAGTGATGACGCTGTTGATTAGATCTGTGATGATCAGAGACCTCACAGGTTATATGCATTTGAGCAGAGTTTTAAAGCAACTTTATATATTTGGGGGAAGCATGTTCCAAGCAAAGGCACAGCAAGTTCAGAGGATCTGTATAACCAGAACAAAGTAAGAGGAGACAGTGGTAGCAACAGGGGACATATGAAGGATTTCAAAGCTGGGGACACTATCAGCTTTATATTTTACTAGGATCACTGAAAGCAGGACATTGTGGAGGATGGGTTGGAGAGAGTAAGTCTGTGGATGGTCTTTAGAAGTTAGGAAATTGTTAAAGAAAGGCACTGACAGTTTTCAGAGGTATTTGGAAAGTAGAATTGACAGAAACAGGTGATTGGTCATGGGAGGCGAGGAAGCACAAGGGTTCTCTTAGATTTCTGACTTAGGAGAAGAGAGGAAAGAATGAAAATTGGTCCAGTGATCCAAGACAGAAAATAAAGAAGGAAAAACAGGTTTTAACAGAGATGAAAGGAAGATCAGCAAAGCATGGTGAGAAAATTTGCTTATTTTGGACTTACTGGATTTAAGGTCCTTGAAGAACAGCCAGGTAGGTATAAGTATGTTTACAGGGTAGAACTTAGAGTGGGATCTTAGAGGAGTTATGGCCTAAGGATTCATATTTGAACTAATTGGTACATAAAGATGATAGTTAAAACCATGAGATTTTTAATAGTAGTAATTTAGTTGTATAAATATTACTTTATGTTTAAAAATCTGAAATTCATGTGATCCATTATTTTTTGATTGGGGGAGGTGCAGTCTTGTGGGACTGACCCCTTTTTTGTTTGATTTTTAGACATACATGACAGTAGAGTGTAGTTTGACATTATACATATATATAGTATAACTTAGACTAATTAGAATCCCATTCTTGTGGTTGTACATGATGTGGAGTTACACTGGTCATATATTCATATATGAATATAGGAAAGCTATATCTGATTCATTCTACTGTCTTTCCTATTCCCACTCTCCTCCCTTGCCTTCATTCTTCTTTGTCTAAGTCAATGAACTTCTGTTCTTCCTCTCCCCACCCTTCCTTGTTGTGGGTTAGCATCCACATATCAGAATATCCAGCCTTTGGTATTTTGGAGACTGATTTATTTCACTTAGCATGTTATTCTCTAGTTCCATCTATTTACCAGCTAATACAATAATTTCATTCTTCTTTACGGCTGAGTAATACTCCATTGTGTGAATATACCACATTTTCTTTATCCATTCAGCTGTAGTAGGGCACCTAGGTTGGTTCCATAGCTTGGATATTGTGAATTGAATTGCTATAAACATTGATGTGGCTATGTTACTTTAGTATGCTCATTTTAAGTCCTTTGGGTATAAACTGGTTAGTGAGATAACTGGGTCAAATGGTGGTTCCATTCCAAGTTTTCTAAGGAATCTCCATACTGCTTTCCATAGTGGTTGCACCAGTTTGCTGTCCCACTAGTATGTACGAGTGTACCTTTCTGCAACATCCTCGCCAACATTTATTGTTACTTGTATTCTTGATAATTGCCATTCTGACTGGAGTGAGAATCCACTATTTCTTGCAAATAACCTGTAGACAGGAACTTAGAAAGTACTTCCTCATTTGTAATTTTTTTTTTTTTTTGATGATTCAGGAAAATCTAAACCTAGCCCTGAATTCTGCTTCAGCCATTGGTTGTACAGTGGTCAACATTGGTGCACAGGACCTCAAAGAAGGAAAACCTCACTTGGTTTTGGGACTTCTCTGGCAGATCATCAAAGTTGGTCTTTTTGCTGATATTGAGATTTCCAGGAATGAAGGTGAGATCTTCAAAAATGTTCACTTTTCGTTGACACAAACCACGTTCAGAAGAATTTACATTTTTTCGTTTTCATCCCAGCTTTGATTGCATTGCTGAATGAAGGTGAAGAACTGGAGGAGCTGATGAAGCTTTCTCCAGAGGAGTTACTTCTGCGGTGGGTGAACTACCACCTCACCAATGCAGGATGGCGCACTATCAGCAACTTCAGCCAAGACATTAAGGTTTTCATTTTAATGTTCATATTAGTCACATGAACCAAGGATGTGGAATGTAAAGTATTTAAAAATAGTTTTTTAAATTATATTCACAAAAATCCCAATTATATACATAGACTTTTAAAAAATTAACTGACGTATTGATTTTTCATAAGTATTATAACTGATGGTGAGAGGAAGGAGGAGCTAGCCTCAACAGATTAAAACAGTCTTTACTATTTTATTTGTCACATTTCTGCTAAATTATAATGAGGGGGCTGGGTTGTGGCTCAGTGGTAGAATGCTTGCCCAGCATGTGTGAGACACTGGGTTTGATCCCCAATCCCCAGTGCTACATTAAAACAAACAAACAAACAAACAAAAAACCTAAATAACCAAATAAAGGTATTATGTCCATCTACAACTAAAAATATATATTTTTTTAATTAAGTGAGCCCATTAATTTGGACTGAGAATGACATCTGTTGGCTTGACTGGAGGCCTGTCGGTCTCACTAGTTCAACACTCTTTCATTTTGCCTGTAATCATCTAATGGGAAAATAAATTGTGTGAGGGCTCAGGGAATCAGGAGACAAAGGAAATCTTAAGGTATGTCTCTGGACCAGAGAAGCTTAAAACACTTCCCTCTATCCTGGGAGAGCCTTATCAGGGAAAATTTAACACTCATTTCTGCCTAACATACCATGGTCACTGCTAGGATAAGTATTGCCAGAGGAATCTGGAAAAAAAAATTAGAGTAGTGCTGTATTTAATTTATATGCCCTCTTTAGGTGTATTAACACCTTATGTTTTTGCTGTAATGGTCTAGATGACAATCTTTCAAGTGACATTTTTTACTTTGAACTCTTATGTGTTCATTCAGTTTATTTGGGGGGTTTCTCTTATTCTGGATCCCTTTAAAACTCAGTTCAGCTCAGGTCATTCAGACAGCAAGCCCCTCCTGCTGGGCATTATGCCAGGAGTAAGCAATGCAAAGACTCAGTCTGAAAGAAGCTTACAATTTCACAGGGAGGCAAATGTCCAGTAAGGATGTTTCATTTATCTTTTCGTATAGAGCAAACCATATAAAATTTGCTGGCTTAAAATAATGATTTATTATTTCTCATAATTTTATCGGTTGATGCATCTTGGCTGGATGGTTCTTCTCCTTCACATACTTTTTTCCTGGGATCTCTGGGTATATTCAGCTATCATTTGGGTGCATCTGGAAGGTGTACAAGAAAGGTTACATGTCTAGTGCCTCAGTGATCCTCCACCAAGCCTCTCTATGTGGCTATCTTGGGTTTCCACTGCATAGCATGATAGCCTCAAATAGGTGGATTTCTTATGTAGAAGTTAATTTCTAAAGGGAGGAATCAGAGGCTCTTTTAAGATTTGGGTTTGGAAGGTCCAGAATATCACTTTCACAGCATTCTTTTGGTCAGAGTGAGTCAGAAGGCCAGTTCAAATTAAAGGGAAAGAGAAATAGCCTTTGCTTTTTGATGGGCAGAGCTACATGCATGTGGAATTATGGTAACTGTCTTTGGAGACTTCATGGGATGATTTAATACAACGTGGCCACAGTTTATTTAAAGAGATGGCCAATGGGTGCTATGTAATATAAAGAAGGGTACTTAATTTATAGAGACATCAGGGAAGCCTTCCAGAATATATTTAACCTGAATCTTAATTGATCCTGATGCTTGGGGTTGTAAACAAATGTAAATGGTGGGGTGAGGGGCTTTCAGGTACCCAGAACCACATTGCTGGAAGCTTGGGAGCATAAACTATCATGATGCATGTAGGAACTCATAAGTAGTTCTGTTATTATAGTCACTGAGTTGTTTGTTATTTTACTCTTTGCAATGGGAACAATTTTCTCAGTTTGAGCACTTTTCTCTCTAAATGAATGATGATTTTATTCATTTAAAAAATACTATTTTTTTTCTTTCCTTGAAGGATTCAAGAGCATATTTTCATCTGCTTAATCAGATTGCCCCTAAAGGTGACCGAGAAAATGGAACTGCCATTGCCATTGACCTTTCAGGATTTAATGTGAGCAGTTTAAATTTTCCTTCCTTCTTTCTTTCTCTTTCTTTCTTTCTTTCTTTCTTTCTTTCTTTCTTTCTTTCTTTCTTTCTTTCTTTCTCTCTCTTTCTTTCTTTCTTTCATATATTGTAGTAAAATTATATGTAACATAAAATTTACCAATTTTACTATTTTTGAGTATGTAGTTCAAGTGAAATTCAGTATATTCACACTGTTGTGCAACTATTACCACTATCTCTCTAGAATTTTTTCATCATTCCATAGTAAAGTTCTGTACCCATTCAACAATAACTCCTCATTTCCCCCTCCCTCAACTCCTGGTAAGAGTTCTGTTCTGCTTTCTGACTGTCAATTCGATGAGTAATTATATTAAAATTTAGAGTATAATACTCTACAGGCAGCATTCCTTGGTGGCATTCTCTGCCCTTCTTTGAAGTTTGACCCTTTGCTCTTCAGAAGTATTTTTCCACATCCTAAGCTCCAGTCTACAGTGCTGAGCCATCTGCCTGTGCCACTGAAGAAAAGAAATTGCAAAATTCTAACCTTGAGTATGTGTCAAATCAACCTTATATCGAAGTTTCCCTGGTGCAGTGCAACTGAATGTATTGATTCTGTGACTGTCAATGTGTGTCAGGAAAGGAAGTAAGAAGTTGTTATTAGATTGCTAAGCTACTGATTATCAGTTCCACAGTTTACTTTTGGAAATACACAGAATAAAACATGGCAATTCCTTATATTTATGATATAGGACTGATATAGATCCTGAACCACCAAACATACTTCCTAGGAAGTTTATTCTTTAAGCATAAATTAGAAATACTTGGGGTGGTTCTATATAAACATGAAAATATGGTCAGACTATGGCGTGTATGAAAACGTATTGAATATTTAAAGTGTAGTTATCCTTAATATTTAGTTTTAAATATAGCAGAAAGTTAGTATTGTAAAACTGTGCGAAGTTTGTAAATTACTTTGATTCAAAAATCAGAATCTTAAAAAACTTAGGGAATATTTAAAATTTATTATAAAAAAATAGACTTAGTATATTAAATGACCATATGCTCATCTACTAGGTAAACATTTATCAGCTCATGATAAATTTATTTAATTCATTCCCAATTTACCTCCTTTCCTATATTATTTTGAATCAAATTCTAGATATTATATCATTTCATAAACATTTCAATATGTATTTGTAGAAGATACTTTTTTAGTATGACCACAACACTTTATCCCTAAAAAATTAATAATAATCTATAACATCACCTAGTTATTGTTGACATCTTTAATTAATTTGAAAATGTCAAATTTTCCTTTTGTGGTTCATTTGAATTACAATCCAAATAAGATCCACATATTGCAATCTATTGATATCTACCTTTGTAACTTTTATTGTTTTATGGCATTGAATCTATCACTTTCTCATATCATGTACATTTTTACTACTTTAAAACTCTGGTACACAGAATCAGATAGGTTATGATCCTTGGTTATGGTAACTCTCTTGATGGGCCCATACATGGACCTCCTTTCATTTTTAGTTGTGATTGTTTTAAAATTGTTACAAGCCTCATAAACCCTCAATCCAACTTGAAAACTAAGACCTTGATGATAATTTTCATTTAACCATACAGTTCTTCATCTCTTTGCCTCACCTCAGTTTGGTAACCACCATCTTTAATCTTTGTATTCATTTTTATTTTGCTTCTCTTTTTATGTAGTTTCCTTTCATCAAATGCATTCCTTATTAAATCTTTTATTTTCCTTGACAACTTCATGTAAAGTTTATCATTATACTTAAATTTCTAGTGCTATTTTGAACTTAATGTCTCTGAGTCACTCATTTTGGAGTTAATGAATGAACTGGTATATTCATACAATGATACACCATCATTATGTCATGATATATTATTATATCATGGTGTATCATTGTATGAATATACCAGTTCATTCATCTACTCTCACATTCATGAGCATTTGGCTTGATTTGTTTGTTTCCAGGGCTTGCAAGGTGCTGTTCCTTCTGATTTTAATAGTTTTATATGATTCCAAGCTGTTTTTCATTGAAAAAGAGTATGGGAAATACCACTCAATGTAGAATGGGTGAGGCAACTAAGCCTGGCACTCTACCAGGTGATGATGTTGCCTACACTATAACCAACAGGAGCTTACTGATATAATATTTGAGGGGCTTGTTAAGTATTTCAGCAATGATTGTTAAATATGACTCAGTGGTCCCAGCAAGAAAACTGAGTGACTTTTTCCTTTTTGATTAGAAAAAGGGGACGGGGAGTTGAAATATCTATAACTATAAAAATTATGCCAATCAAAAAAAAGGTTTAATCTTAACCATTTTTATTTCCTTGTTTAGGAGAGAAATGACCTGAAGCGTGCTGAATTCATGCTTCAAGAAGCAGATAAACTAGGCTGCAGACAGTTTGTTACTCCTGCTGATGTGGTTTCAGGCAATCCTAAACTTAATTTAGCCTTTGTAGCTAATCTTTTTAACACATATCCATGCCTACACAAACCTGATAATAATGACATCGATATAAATTTATTGGAAGGTATGTTGTTTCTGCCTTTAATTGAAACATTGTATTTCTCTTCTTGTGGTACTGTCTTACTTCGTTGTCAGAGCTAGGGAATTTATTGTAGAAGATGCACTTTATTGTGTGTAGGCATGTGCATCTATTAAAACATTCAAATTACAGAAAGTGATTGTTGGTTTTGGTTAAAAGAGAATGCTGGGGTAAATTATCTTATTTGTCATTTCTCCATAAGAATTTAGTGGAAACTATCAAGACATTTAAAATATGATCCTATGAGTACCACCAATATGGATAGTGAATTATCTCTTGGAGGAAAAAAACCAATTATTAGTAGCTTTTTTTCTCCTTTGAAAAGCAGTTTGACTCCAGTATTATTCTCTTTTTAATAGTTTTGGTGTACATGAAAAATATTACAGTATTCATTACTTGTCTTGTGTGTGGGCTACTGTTGTCTGTCTCATAATATATAATACTTTCCTATTTTGCTTCATGAAATGCAGATTTGACCCCTCCTAATGTAGGTACTGTATTTAGTACTTTTCTATACTCTAAAAATGTATTCTTTCTGAATGTTCTTTTTATTAGTGCCATTTATTCTTTCCATTTGGGTTGATATTTATTTTTTGCATTGTTCATGCTGTGTTGTCTTAATATGCCTATAGAATGAATAACGACAAGCAAGAAACAGAAATGAAGCTTAATTAAATAGCAGAACAAAAAAAAAATAGCAGAGCAAGGCTTTGATCATATATACTCTCGACCTAAAGTGCCTTCTATAGTGATGGGATACTGTAGTTGCAAACACAGTAGGAACTAGTTTTGACAATTGGACATAATGATTTGGTGTAAAGTCTTTATCTTTCTCTCCTGTGATAAATCTTATTTTTTATCACAAGCCATCTTTGAAAGGATTCATTTAGGTTCTACAACAGATTATTTGGCATTATTTAGCTATGTTACATTTACTAAATGTCAGTGAAGCTTATAATATATGAATCATCATAATGACCAAAACATTCTCAAGTCTAGTTTTTCTCCTTGTTTCCCAGCCTCTTGCTTTTTTCTTCCATTCTCACAGCCTCATCCACATGCATACCTATACCCCACTAGTATCAGAATGAGCAGTGCTGGTGGTTGTTGGAGAGGGGCCAGTCTAAGATTTTTTTCTTAGTTGCCCTTATTTGGAGAAGGCAGGGATTCTGCCTCGTGGGGAGAATTTGATGTTGCAGTATTCATTCTCTCACAAAACTACCCCTGTTTCTTTCCTTCCCCAGTGAGACTGAGTGAAAACTCAGTTCATGATCTTTTTCTTTAAGTGCCATAACTAGAGTTCTGATTTCCTTGTCACCTTGTAATTACAGTGTCATGATGAATGAAATTTCAAATTTCATAAATATATTTTTTGAGAAATAGGATTAATTCAATTCACTCTTCTGAGGGTAACTTAAATAAGATAAAGACTACATTTTCTACATAGATCTGTAACCAAGAGGAAAAATAGAAAAAAGTATATATATATATATTTGTAAAGAGAAATTTAGAGTAAAAGATTAGAACTTAAAAATTTGGCAAAGGGGCTGGGGTTGTGGCTCAGTGGTAGAGCATTCGCCTAGCATGTGCAAGGCCCTGGGTTCAATCCTCAGCATTACATAAAAATAAATGAATAAAATAAAAGTATTGTGTCCAACTACAACTAAAAAATAAACATTAAAAATAATTAAGTAAAAAAGAAGACTGCTAGGTTTTTATCGGTCTGGAAAATTTCAGAATCCCTCTGTGTCTTATAGTAGAAGGCATTGTTTAGAGTGGCATATTAAAAATGATCTGCTTTTTATAGTCACTGAATTCTTGCTAGATATCTTTTCCAACTTGCTCGCTCTATTTGTCATGTTTGAATTCTTTTGCTAGTGTTCAGCATGCTTTTGAAATTTTTCAGTGTGCACAGGATTGCTACATATTTCCATTAGTATTGACTATATTTGTTAAGATACTATGGAAGTATTTATCAATCCTCTTTATGTAGAACATATGTATGTCCTGATACATCTGCCAAAATGTATTTGACTTTGACTGTCATCAGCATATTTCCTCTGTAAATTTAAGTTTGTATAGATCCCTGTGAATTATGAAGCTTGACCGTATTACATCCCAAATTCATATATTAGTATGTCCTCATTGGCAAAGAATTTTATCTGTGAGGAACTAAAAGTACAATTAAATATTAAACCTTTACATCTAATTGATCCAAACAAGTGGGCTACATGTAGAGAGACCATCTCAGAATTTATTCATGGTGATAGAAAGTACCTAGGCCACAGAATTAGAAAGACTTTATTCAAATCTTGTTTCTACTACTTCTTATCTGAGTAATCTCTGTCTTTGTTTTCTCATATATAAAACAGGACTAATAATAGTTATTTAATAGAAGTTAGAAAGCAAGTTAAATGTGACCACAAGTAGAAAAGTTGTAGTCAGAGTGGGAGGTGGAAAGCACTTAATACATTACAGCATAGTGGATGTTGGATCTATATTAGTTCCTTTTCTTTCATCTTAGTAGTCTACTTTTGTTATTTTTATTGAAATCTGTATTGATGCAGATGTCAATTTGATCTACAAATGAAAAGAATATAATTCTTTCTATCTTAAATATCAGCAATTAAGATTTCAGTTTGAAAACTACTTCAGTTGTCTACAATCCAGAAAACATTGTCTAATCTGGAATACATATGTTTTTGTAATGCTTTACCATGGCTCTTGCACAAATGCATAGTGCTTCTAGCTTTGAGCATTTATTTACCAAGATAACTTGAAATGGTGCTTGACAAATAAATGCTCATTTCTGAAATCTACTTTTCTTTGCAGAGATTAAAAGTTAAAATTATAATTAGTTGAGAATAAAAGGAAGAAGCATGAATCTCTGAAGCTTATAACAGTTTCAGAACTCAATCAAAATGCAAGCTTAGTATCTTAAAATATTCATTATATCATCAGTCAATAGAATTTGAATATTTTAATTATTTTACTGGGACATTCAAACTTTGTAATTTTAACACATCTTTTGGATTTTCCCAAATGGGAATAATGTGAAAAGTTTCTAATATCTGGAAAAAATTTTATATATGTATATATAGCATTATAACACATGGTAATAGAGAAATGACCAGAAGGTAAATCCAAGCCACATGCCTCAAGCTATTATTCACAGTATGTTTATCTTTGTCATGTTGTGGATAGTTCAGGGAATAATTTTGAACCTTTTTTAATAACTACTGTAAGTAAGGTAGGCCCGGATTCTGGGAATATTTTTTTTAAAAAGGTTGTCATGTAGATTGTTCATTTAATTATAAGGTAGTTATAGCACAGCACACTGATCAATTGCCTCTTATGAAGACCAGTGGGAACAAAATTGAAGCAAGAAATTATATGGCTATACGATTTCATAGAATAAGAATTAAAGTAGATTCTGGGAAATCTGTTAGGTAATGACATTGAAAACCACATGAAGATATATTGGGCAGTTTATTTCCTGAAAGGTTGATGAAAATAACAGTGTCCTTTAGATCATAAAAGGTTTCGGTACCTATTTTCGTTCATACTATCTGTGGCACTTAGCCTGAAGATTACTGTACAGATGATTCTAGAGGAATGGACCCTGAAGCTCAGATGGTTATTGATTTCTATATTGAATTGTCCAGGGAGTCTCACATGGCCCAAGTTTAGAGAGTATCCTGAACTTGAATAGGAATTAGAAGTGATGAAAAGTGAAATGTTTCAGCTTTCAGAAGTCTGGTGATTAGATACAGTCTAGGCTATTCCACTGTCCCCCAACTTTGCTGAAGGACAAATTATTTTGGTTGGTCATTTAGGACCATTTGCAATCAGCATGTAACTGCAAGGCAAATGCAGCAGGGGACCCACATCTCTACTTGCTTTGTGGTACCCCTTCTCTACATTTTCCTTATAGGTAGTGTTTTTACTGCTGTGAAGGAAATGGCCTGGACCATTAACCCAGGTTAAATAATAGTGCCTGCAGGAGTTGTCTTCTTGAGGGGACCTTTGAGGTTCAGGAACTTAATATGATGAAATATAACTTTAGCTTAGCACACATTAGAGTGCTAGGTGGGGTCCACATTCATCAAGTATTTTCAATAGTGATAATCTAAATAAACCCAGGAAGCCTGTAAAATAGTTATTACACCTGCCCGCCCGCAGTGATCTGTTTTTAAATATTATTAGAGATTCCCTCTCTCCTTCATTATTTGGTATAAAGTATAGGTTTGTACACCCAGAAACTTTCCTGTATGAAACCATAATCTGTATAAAATTAGATTCCCAATACACTGTATTGGGAAAAGCAAAGCTTTTCTATTTCTGTTTAATATGCTGATGTTATCCCGAAAGCTAAAAGATTTCGTTTTACAATGTTTATCTAGTCCTTTTTGCATCTAATCATAACTTCAGACTACACAAGTTTATCTGTGGTGTTTCTGGACAGTAGTAATTCACAGACATCAACTAAGGGAATCTACATGAATAAAAAGAGAATGGGAAGCCAGAGTGAGGGGGAGAGAGTGGTGTGTACGCGAAGGCTTCCTAGATGGTGGGGGATAAGATTGTTTTTCTTTTTTCCTCCAAAGAAATTACGGTATCTAAAGAACCCTGACCAAGTATGTATGGCCAATTTGTACCTGTCTGAATAGTTTAAAATATAGTTCCTGATTCTTTCTGTCCTGAATCATCAGTGTGAATTTATGTGTAATCTAGGAGAGAGCAAGGAAGAGCGGACTTTTCGGAACTGGATGAATTCCTTGGGGGTCAACCCATATATTAATCATTTGTACAGGTAAATATTTTACTGTGTTTGAACCTTACTGTCAGGATCAAATTCCCCTCACCCCCATTCTGGGAAGGAACCCAAGTCCTCACACATGCTAGGCAAATGCTCTACCACTAAGCTACACCCCCAGCCCCAGAGGTCGAATTTAAAAAGTTTCAAACTGTAGGTATGTTTACATAATAGCATTTTCTCTTATCACAAGGAGTTAGCTAACATTTAGAGTTTCAAAATGCTAGGAATTGGCAATATAGTAAAATTTTAAAAAAATATAATAATTATAATTTTTGATGATTGAAATACATCAGTAAAGATACACATTATTCTTTCGTGGTAATCTTGAAAATAAGAAATTACTTCGGCTTTAGCATATTAGAATAACAGTAATATTTGATAAATGGTTCTTAACCTTTATATCGGTATTCATCATTACAATTCATATTTTTAATTTATTTTCATCACAATCTCAATTACTCTAAAATGTCTGTGTATGCTTTTATTTAATTTATAGAAATAACTTGTTTTCCCTGGTAGTTATTAAATTTTTATCTTTGTTTAAAAATGACAATATATAGCTGGGTACAGGGGTACAGACCTGTGATGCCAGTGACTAGCAAGACTCGGGCAGGAGAATCACAAGTTTGGGGACTGTCTGAAGAAAGATGGGGAGATAGAGGATGTGGTAGAGAATCCCTGGATTCAATCCCCGTGTGACAGCATATAATTAACATGGATTGGACTAAGAAGATATTATACTAAATCATTTCCAATACTGTTAGTGATAACAATGTGTCTTCCTAGATGTGGGTGAGAAGAAATCTTTCTTCTCATTATTATAGAATCTTGCCTTGAAAAACATATAAAGGAACTCAACTTCAGCTAACTTTTTATTTTTTAAGGAAAAAAGCCTAACTAAACCTATCATTAATTTACACATGAAGGAAACTCTTTTTTAAAGAGTTTAACTCTATCTAAAGATTGACCAAGTTATTATTTAAATATGAATATTAATGTCATAGCAGACAACCTAACTTGCTGAGGATTAGTAGTAGTAATATAGTAATTTCTGCTTCTTGGTATGTATTAAAACTGTTCTTTAAGATCTAAAACCAAATATTGCCTTATTCTGTTAATTGGCTCAGTGTGATAGGCTCATTTTAATTCCAGCTAAACAAGAAGAGATGTACATCAATTTTAGAAGAGCTACATTAGATTAGGGCAGGTAAAACTCAAATATTGGACATGAGAGAGGAATAGATCTTTATGAACTCGTTTGAAAGAACAAATAGTTCTAGTGTGTTTCTAGGATCAGTTTGCGGAATTCATCCTGAAATCTCTGGAAGTAATTTCATCTCTCTGGGTCTCAGTTTTCCCATTTGTAGAACATCAATAATAATACCATATTACACAGGAATGAGAGTGGGTTCATTTAAGAAAAAAATCATGAAATAGATGGATTCTAGAACCTACACAAATACCTTAGTAATATCTTTTTTGTTTTTGTTTTTGTTTTTGGAACTGGGGATTGAACCCAGGGGCACTTAACTACTGAGCCACATCCCCAGTCCTTTTTAATTTTTATTTTGAGACAGGATCTGACTAACTTGATTAGGGCCTCACTAAATTGCTAAGGCTGGCTTTGAACTTGAGATCTTCCTGCCTCAGCCTCCTGAGCCATTGGGATTACAGGTTTGCATCACTCTGCCTGGCTAGTATACCTTTTTATAGAAAATGCTCATCTGCTTACAGATAACCTTGTCAGATTTTTTTAAAAAAAATAATGATACTAGTATCTAGATTTTTTTAATGTTTATTTAGTTATAGATGAACACACAGTATCTTTATTTACTTATTTTTATGTGGTACTGAGGATTGAACCCAGTGCCTCACACGTACGAGGCAAGCACTTTACCACTGAGCTACAGCCTCAGTCCCAACCTTGCAGATTTTAATTACTTTCAGATTAGACTTTCCCCATCAGTCAGCACAGAGCCCAGCCTCCTTCACTGCCATATGGTGTATGCTCAAAGAATGCAAACTAACCTTAATATCAACCTTAGTAAGACATAACTCAGTGAATAAGCTGTTAGAGGAGAAAAGCCACATACTACATCACAGGCCTAGCAATTTAAAAAAATCAATTGCTACTGCTTTATGTCCTTAGCATACAGAATTGAGAACAGACTCAACACAGACATATTTTCTCAGGAGAACTTAACTTTTCTCAATACAAGGTAGTAGTTCTCACTTTAAGAACTCCTGCTTGTTTATAAATTCCCTCCTCTTAACCTTCATCATTGAACATGAACCACTGCCTGCTTAATAGCTGTGGCTTTCCTATAATTAAAGTTTCTAAAAATACTAGTATATCACTAAGATATGAATTTATTCTACTGTACAAGTTTCAAGAAATATGTAAGTATACAGATAAAATAAAATATACACTTGCCTTCTTACCCTCTCATACTTCCTTTTTCCTGCCCAGAGGTAATCCATATTAATAGTGCTTAGCATACATAGGTATATAAATACATTTGACTCTAATTTTTTAAAAAATAAATGAGATCCAACCATGTGAAGTGTTCTGCCATTTACTCTTTTAAACTTAATATTCCCTTGTAAAGAGTGTCATGTTGGTATATAGAGATCTACATAACTATTTCTAATGGTGGCCCAGGAGTTCATAGTGTGGATAGTTTATTCAATAGCTCTTAATGGCTAGGCATTTAAGCTGTTTCCAAATTTATAAATACTATGAGCAGGGTGCAGTGACATATGCCTACAGTCTTAGCTACTCAGGAGGCTGAGGCAGGAGGATTGTTGTAGCCCAGAAATTAGAAACTAGTATGGGCAATAGAGATCTGGTCTCAAAAAAAAAAAAAATTATTGATACTGTGGCAACAGATGTCTTTCTCTGTGTGTGTACATATGTATTTATTTTACCTACATATATATGTATGTGTGTATATATATGCATGGATATGATTATATGTACATATATAAATGCATACAAATATTTTTGTAAATATTTACGACAAATTTTTGGGCACATTCTTAGATTGGAAGTTCTGGGTCAAATTATATATCCTGTTATTCTATAAGCATTAAATGACCCTATTGTGGATTTTTTTTCTTTGCCATACTAGAGATTGAGCCCAGAGCCTTGCACATGCTAGCTGAGTGCTTTCCTACAGAGCTACGTTTGTAGTCTTTTTTTTTTTCAGTTTTATTTTGAGACAGGGTCTCAGTAAGTTGCCTAGGCTGGCCTCAAAATTGCTGTTCTTCTGCTTGAGCCTCCTGAGTAGCTGGGGTCACAGATTTGTACTACCATGCCCAGCCTTTGTGTTTTTCAAGAAGTATGTCCACCGTCAGTGTACTTCATAAAATTAAATAATACCAACATTGACTCTTCTCTCATCTCCTTTTCCTTCTTGTTTTAGTGACCTTGCAGATGCTCTAGTGATCTTTCAGCTCTATGAAATGATTCGAGTGCCAGTTGACTGGAGCCATGTCAACAAACCTCCTTATCCTGCTCTTGGAGGAAACATGAAGAAGGTGAATGAAATAATGATTGTGGCTATATTGTCATTGTTCTGATATAAAATAGAAGATTTAGATTTTCATGAAGCTTGGTAAACTATGGCCTGTCCTCACTGTTCTGTTTCAAACCAATATGTTAAACCTGATAGCCTTTTTACAAGTTTGCTTTAATAAATATTTGGAAGTTGGAGGCAGTCTTTCCAGTCAGACACTTTTATAAATGCTTTCTTCTTTAGCAAGTTGTAGTATTAATGTTCTTTGAGATGTATTGTTAAGTGCGCTCTTATTTTATATTTGCTACAACTTGCTGAATCTTTACTGGTTATTCATTCATTTACTCAGCAGATATTTGATTACCTACTATATATTACAGTGCAGTGCATAATATAAAAAAAAAAACAAGTTATGGAGCCCTAAAGTAGGCAGGGAGATAAGATAAACCACTACAATATAGGACAGTATAAGCAAAGTGATAGTATGGGTTTTAAAGAAGAAAAGGCCACAGGTCGCCCTTATGAAAGGCTTCATGCAGAAGGCTGATTTTGAGGTAGACCTTGAGGAATGTATTATTGAATTTTGTCACAAGGAGGATGGAGAAGGGGCTGAGGGTTAAGGTAAACAATAATAGTGGGAAAGTGTGTTTCTGGGAATTAAGGAAAATGGTTTTGCTACAGCAGAAGATTTTGATAGGTAAGCAGTTAATTAAAAATTGGGATTGGAGCAAGATATTAAGAACCTTGAATGCCAGATTAAAGAACATGGGTTTTAAGCTATAAGCAGTGGAAAGTCAATAAATGTTTTTGAAGGCAGTGATTTCATTACATCTGGTGGAAGAAAATCTGGTAGATAAATGTAAAAAGAAGTTCTTATCTTCCAGTATTTCTCATATAGGATCAGTAGTCTCCTTGGTGTTCATGTTTGTTCTGTGGAAACCTTTTTGGGTTTTTTGCATTTCCTTTTTACCTTTTTTTTAGTGTCATTTGCTTTCTAAAGTAAAAGTATGCAGGACTCTCAAATTTTAATACTTTCATTTAACCTCATCCTTCTGTTTAAAATAAGAATAATTTAAACATACTAAACAAATTAGTGGACTATATTTTCTGGAACATACTTGTTTGATTAATATGAAATTGACCAGCATTTTCATAATGTTTAAAACTGTTGGTAGTTGAATAAGAAGAAATATAACCATATTCCTGGACAGAAAGACTAAATAACATAAAGAGATCAATTTTTTTTTCTAGTCAACTTACTGGTAGAACATAATTCCATTTAGAATCTAAGACTGTGTGTGTGTAGCAGGGGATAGGTGAAACAATTTATATATGTGTGTGTATTAGCGGGTAGGTGGGACTTATAAAGTGATTATAAAGCTTCACTGGAAGAAGGAAAAGCCCTGAATAGTCAGGAACATTTTCCAAGGATGTTGAGGGATATTTTAGAGATGTTAGAAAATAGTCATGGGTTAATGATGAACCACATATACAATGGTGAGTCCCTAAGATTATATCACCTGTTGACGTCATGACCATAGTGACACATTTCTTATTAAGCAGTACATGGCTATATATTAAAATTTATAGTGAAGGTATAGTAAATGAAATATTTAGTATGAATGTAAAAATGGAATGGAATAGGATGGCCAAGAAATCCTAAACCTAAGAACTTAATATATGGCAAGGTGGTTGCTGAATTCAAGAGGGAAAGGAAAGATCATCCAAAAAATGATGTCAGAAAAATCTAGTTAACTATTTAGTTAGAAAAAAAACAACCACAGTCTTTACCATATATAATCCACCAAAGTAAATGCCAGGCGGATTTAAAGTAAGGAGTATTAAAATATAATAAAACTCTTAAAATGTAAGTGAATGATTCTCTATTCCTGGAATAAATAATAAATTACAAAGGAAAAAATAGATATGAATACATTTCATATAAACTTAAAACTTTATGTACAAAAATAAATCGATAAAGAAAAGTTAAAAGCAAACGTGAAGAATCCATGTTTACAAAAAGTATGACAAGTGGTTAATAATGTAAATATAAGTAGTTCATACAAATCAACTACTAAAATCCAGTTGCTGTTACCAGCAAAATGGGAAAACAACATGAGTTCAAAATTCACAGAAAAAAATGATGGGTAATACACAGAAAAACTTTTACCCACCATAAAGAAATGCAGTTTAAAACAAGAAATTGCATCCAGTGTTAAGAGGATATGTTCCTTTTTAGAACCTTTCTAGAATCCGTTTTGTAATATATTATCAATAATCTTAAAAAAAAATCGTTTGGGATTGGAGTTATGGCTCAGTGGTAGAGCCCGGGATATGTGAGACACTGGGTTCAATTCTGAGCACCACATATGAATAAATAAATGAAATAAAGGTTCACTGACAACTAAAATATGTTTAAAAAATCCTTTGATCTAATAATTTCAATTCTTATCATCTATTCTGATGAAAAATCAGGAAGTCAGACAAGCAATTGTCCGCCAGAATGTTTATCACCATAATCTTTATAGAACAAAAACTAAAATAATTGTTCAATAAAACATTAGTAGTGACTCACCTATAAGATGAAGTAAAATTTGCCATTAAAAATAGTGTTTTAGCCTGGTGTGGTAATGAACGCCTGTAATCCCAGTTGGTTGGGGGGCTGAGGCAGGAGGATAGAGAGTTCAAAGCCAGCTTCAGCAAAAACTAGGCAGTAAGCAACTCAGTGAGACCCTGTCTCTAAATAAAATACAAAATAGGGCTGGGGTTGTGGCTCAGTGTTCTAGTGTCCCTGAGTTCAAACCCCAGGACCAAAAAAAAAAAAAAAAAAATTTTAGCTGAGGCAGAAGAATTGCAAGTTCAAAGCCAGTCTGAGCAATTTAGCAAGGCCCTAAGCAACTGAGCAAGAACCTGTCTCAGAATAAAAAATAAAAAAGGCTGGGGATATGTCTCAGTGGTTAAGTGCCTTTGGGTTTAATCCCTGGGTACCAAAAAGGAAATTTTAAAAAAGTGTTTTAGTAATAGTGGTATGGGAAAGCAATATATAAAACTGTGTATGTACAGGATATAAGTCTGTTTTAAACATATAATTCAAAAAGGACTTCTAATCTTCCTCTACATCCCCAAAATGAACATATATTTATAGACTTTGTAATTTAAAAAATAAAAGACTTTTAAAAGTAAATACATCATAATATTAGAAGTTTTAAAATTGGTAGTATAATAGTATAATGATGAAATTTATATTCATATTTCTCAGTATTTCTGATGGTTGTACTGACTACATTTTAAACTTTCAATTGATTTGCTCACAGTTTTTGTCACAGAAGTACAATTCAGAAAATCTTTAAGAATTCAGAAAATCTTGTTGAATAATTTCATTTGTTTTTTTAAATTTTTTTTTTTTTTTGTCAGTGGACCTTTTATTTATTTATATGTGGTGCTAAGAATCAAACCCAGTGCCTCACAGATGCCAGGCAAATGCTCCACCACTGAGCTACAACCCCAGCCTTAAGTTTTTTTTTTTTTTTCCTTCAAAATTTCTCATGTAAAATGTAACTGGAAAACACAAATTGAACCATTCATTATGCTTGGCATTTTTATGTTAATTGCAAAATATTACAAATGAATCATGTAGAATGCTTCATTTCAACAAATACTAGCAATTTAGTAGAATTAAACATAAAGCCTGAGATAAATTTGAGATGCTTAAAAAACAAAAAAGCAGTACTTTTCATGACACATTATCGTAGGGAATTATTTTATGGACTTTGGGCAACCATTAATGCACATCACTTCACTTATAAAGTTCATAAAACTGTATCATTAAATATATTTCTTCATTACTTTTTCAGTATTTGTTGTCACTTGGAACCTAGTATCCTATTACATAACCCTTCTCATTGTCCAAATGAGCCTCCAAAGCATTTGAAGTGCTTGGAATCATTCTTTCATTCACTCTGAGATTGTGCTCTCTAACTTTTCCTTGCTTCTTTGTGTTCATTTCACCACCCTTTCCCTCCTGGGGATTAAACCTAGGGGCCCTGTACCACTGAGCTGAGGCCCCAGCCCTTTTTATTTTTTTGTTTTGAGACCAGTTCTCACTTAGTTACTCAGGCTGGCTTTGAACTTGTAATCCTCCTAACTCGGCCTCTGGAGTAGCTGGAATTATAGTTCTGCACCATCATGCTTGGCTTTGTGCTCATTCTTAACTTTCATGGGTTCCTCATATTTTAGCCTGACAACTCAAGTATTTCCAAGACTCATTCTTGCCTAAATCTCTTCTGTATGTACAGCCTCAGAAAGCAGATCTATTTTTAAGGTTTTAGATACTATCATAAACATGACTTACCTCCAGGAACCTAATTTCTCATTTATTCTCCAGTTTAGTACCTCTCCAGATCTTAGAAATGTTCTGCCAAATTTGCAACCAAATGTTGCCCTAAATAGAACACCATTCCCCTTATATTAACACCCACTTCAAGTTTCCATTTCTTCTTAGTCATACCAGCATCCCCTTAGGCTCTACACTAGCATTCCCTTAGGGTCTACACTAGTGAGATTCTTTCTCACCATCTTCTCTCTCAGGCATTTTGGTCTAACTAACTAACAGATGGCCCTTTACTGAAACACAGTCTACACAAAAGTGATGACTGCAATTTGCCAGTGAAGTTTCCCATTCAAATGAGTATCCATGGTTTTTCTCTCTTTTTATTCAGTTACATAATCAGGAGTGCTGATTACTTTCCATAAATTAGGAATCTATTTTTTTTAGTTCTATAAATTTCTATAGCATTTGTTTCTATTAAACAGGCATAATTAAATATGACTACTAGGAAAACTAATTTTGAAATATTATCTCCTTGCATGTAAAAAATATGAATCCAAATCAGATGTTTTATTTGATTTATGAAGTGAACCAGGCAGATGTTACAGAAAGTTCAAAGGATCTTCTTGTATTTTTTTTTTAAACCAACTGAACTTCAGGAATTTGAATTCTCTTTAACAAATTTGTTTTTACCCTCTTCTTTGCCTTTCATGGAAATATTTCCTTATTTTTAGAAAAAAATGTTTCTGCTTATCCCTGGTTGAATTGTTTTGAAATGGAGCCTTTACTACCTTGGAAAGAAAATTGAGAGAAACTAATTATACTGTTTTTTTCTTAACTGTTTTTCCAAAAAGTACTTAGTAAACACTTTTCTTCTACTGGTGAGATTATACAATTATGAGAGCATACAATTTTACTTAAGGAAAACTCATCTACATAAGAATGTGTGTGTGTGTGTGTGTGTGTGTGTGAGAGAGAGAGAGAGAGAGAGAGAGAGAGAGATATTTCTAGTCTGATAAAAGAAGTACATCACTAGATGGTGGGAAATAAGAATATTCTCTAGAGGCCAAGATAGACCAAAAAAAAAAAAAATAAAGTACAGAAAAATTTAACCAGACTTAATATCACTAGAAATAAATAGATAGGTGGGCAAATAATTTATTGATATTTATAGATCAGATTTTGACTGTTGGAAAGGCACTGGGCTGGAAGAAGGGAAACTATGATATAGATTTATACATGTAAACATTTTTGTTTTTTAAAAGGAGCCATACAATGAGTAGCAAAAGAAATCACATAAAAGCTAAAATAAGTAAAAGATGGTGCATAAGCATTGCAATATAAGCATTATTAGGAATTCAACAAGTTAACAATCATTATTAACTGGTGTAGTTAAGGTTAAGCCTTTGTTAAATAAAATGGGCCAAAAGCTGAAATTAAGGATGAGTAAGATCAGATAAAGAATATGAGAGATGAATATGAGAGATTCTTAATGAAACGATGACTTTTCTATTCCTTAATTTAAAATCTAGAATAAACATTATTTATTAGGTTTATTAGTAGAATGCAGGAAACCAAAGGTTTTAGTTACATATTTGCCATTAGTAAGATGTGTAATCTTAGAGAGTCAAGACTTACAGGGTAAGACAGGCTCTTAACACTTTTTAGCCAGTTGTTCCTCTTTCTAGATCAACCCCTTAGTGCTTGGATATCTTTAGCTATAAAATAGAAATAGTTATTCCTTGCTTTCACTTGGTTATTATGAAATGAAATTCAGTCATATAAAGTGTTATTAGAATTATTTTTTCAGATGACTGAATTAGGTTGACATATTCAGCAAATATGTTTTTATACCCAAACTTTTGCTTGCTTATAGATTGAAAACTGTAACTATGCAGTGGAGCTTGGGAAGAATAAAGCAAAATTCTCCTTGGTTGGTATTGCTGGGCAGGACCTAAATGAAGGGAATTCAACACTTACTCTGGCATTGGTATGGCAGCTGATGAGAAGGTAAAGGCTGATGTGTTTACAGCAACACTGTCAGTTCCCTTCAACAAGTTACTGAGCTAAACTTTTAGCTATTTTTGAAGAATAATAAACACAATAAATATATAATGTAAAATATATTAATTTTGTAAAGGATTTACTATTGATTATATATACTAGTGAATTTCATTTTAAAATGGGTTTGTTTCTTCATCTCACTTCATTCAGAATGGCAATTATCAAGATATACAACTAATGATAAGTGTTGGCAATTGTTGGGGAAACAGGTACACCATACATTGCTGGTGGGACTGCAAATTAGTGCAACCTCTCTGGAAAGCAGGATGGAGATTCCTCAGAAAACTAGGATTTGAATCACTGTAGGACCCAGCTATCCCACTTCTTGGTATACGTCCAAAAGATCTAAAATCAGTATACTATAGAAATACAACCACATCAATGTTTATAGTAGCACAATTCAATTTCTAAGCAATGGAACTAACCTAGTGCCCTTCAACAGATGAATGGATAAAGAAGATGTGGTATATATACACAATGGAGTATTAGTCAGTCATAAAGAAGAATGAAATTATGGCATTTGCTGGTAAATGCTTGGAACTGGAGATTGTCATGCTAAGTGAAACAAGCCAATCCCAAAAAATCAAAGGCTGAATATCTTCTCTGATGTGTGGAAGCTAGGCCAAAACAAGGAGGAAAAAAAAAAAAAAAAAAAAAAAAAAGCAGAAGAGGGGGACAGAATTTCATCAAAATCTGACCTAACTTTTTTATGTGGTTGCACTAATTTGCATTCCCATCAACAATGTATGGCATACCTGTTTCCCCCACACTTGCCAAGACTTATCATTATGAATATTAGGAATATACCACAGTGAATCTCACTATCATGTGTACTCACAAAACACTAATTAAAAAAAAAAAACTAAGTAAATAGCAGAAGAATCAGTAGAGGGAAGGAAATAAGGAGAAAAGAGAAGAGAAAAAGAGGAAATACTGGGGAATTAAGGCAAATTATTTTCCATACTTTTATAATTATGTCAAAATGAATTCTAATGTTATTTATAACTAAAAAGAAGTAATAAAAAATAAGATAGAAAAGAAAATTGGTCAATCTCTAGAAACACTTTTTATTAATGTCTCTTAAAATGGCTCTGTAAGTTGTTTTAAATTTTTTAAATACCATATGGTAAGTTTTTGTTTTTACATAGTGAGCTTTAGAACTCTGGAATGTAACCAAGTACAAATGCCAGGCTAACATTAGAAATATTTATTAGAACTGAACTATTTCTTAAATGTTTATCTAAATATTGACATAAATGATATGAAAGCAAAATTTACCCATTTTAGTCTCAAATATGTGTCTTTTCTATTGCAGGTATACATTGAATGTGTTATCAGATCTTGGAGAGGGTGAAAAAGTAAATGATGAAATTATTATTAAATGGGTCAACCAGACTCTTAAAAGTGCAAACAAAAATACTTCTATTTCCAGCTTCAAGGTAATCAAGAGTACTTAACATTTTTTTCTATAAGTTTAGGAAGGAACTTTTTATGGAGAATTATATTGTTTAGGTTCAGAATTACATTAATGTAATATCTTAGAAACACACAACTTAGGAGTTTAGGCATAGTAATTATTTGGCATGTGTAAACTAGAAATATTCAGTTTGAATTTTTATATTTGTGATTGGTTATTCTATTGAATATAAATGCAAGGTAATAGATGATGGTAATTTAATCTTAAGAAATAGAGTCAAGCCAAAAAAAAATCCAATTGTCAAATGAAAAAGAAAGATAAAAGCCATTGTTTATATAGGACCTGTAATGTTTTGTGCTCCCTAGCAGCAGTCTCAGAATTGTATTGACATCATTTCCAAGGCATAACAGAGCCAGCCAAACCGATTCAAGTCGGAATTGAGAAAACTGGTAGGAAAAAAAAATCTTGTCATCTGGCTTCATAATGCACTTAACACTTCCAAGCATTTGTGGATGATCCATAAAGCACTCCAAGATGTAATCTGCCCGTACATATCACTAATTTTCATGCATTTCATTGTGTTTTGCTTTTGCATGCAAGCTGGTATTAACTACAAAAGAGCATGTCTGCTTGTACACCTTCATTCAGTGTTTGTGATTTTATTATGTGTGAAAAGCCAGCAATTTGCAGTTTTTCGTGAAATAAAGAAGTGCAAACAGATGAAACACTAAGCTATCCTAGGAAATATCTACCCATCTTTATTCTTTTCTTTGCCTTTGCTCTATTTGTTTAACAACATTGTAGAGTGGAAGAAATATTAGAAACTGATAAATTTGATTTTTTCATCTATACCCCAAACTGAGGACTCAAACAATTGTAATAGGAAGTTGGATGTTGGCAGAGATGTTGCCTAAGTTCTAGTTCAAGTGCTTTTTATTCCTCTTTTATCTTGAAAAGAACCAATAATGTTTTTATTGTTGCTTATTTTTAAAAGTAATTTTCAGTTTATAATTTGTCTATATATTTTATATAGAAAACACAATTTAAAAATGTGAAACAGGATTGAGGGTGTATTTATTATAAACTTCTCAAACTGGCAGTTACACTTTAATATTATTACACTGAAATTATATGCATTTACATACTAATTTAAAATAATAAGCACAGATAATTAAATATATTAATAGCATTTAGGAAAAAAATACTTATTAAGTATTTATTATTAAGTAACTTTTCTGAATAAAGAGTAAGAAATTAATTTGGCCCTCAATGTTCACCATTTATTTGAAAGAGAAACTTGTATAACTGAGAAGGTAACAATACTACAAACTAAATTATAAGCTCCAATTAATATAATTTATATTATCTTGGGTTAAGTCTAATTGATAATTTCCAACTCAATAGTCATTAAAGAGTGGAAAAAGTTAATTGATGGAGAAGGGATTTGAATTGGTGGTGGGGGGGGGAAGAAATAAGCTAGAAGGGTTAAGGGCAAGTCTGAGAAGGTAGGGAGAAGGCGATTGGCTAGGGAGGATGGCTTCTATGGGATGTTGTACTAGATATGGACTAGATCAAGATTGTGGAGGATCTTGATAAAGATGATTTTTTGAAAATAATTTTTTAGTTGTAGGTGGATACAATACCTTTATTTTATGTATTTAGTTTTAGGCGGTGCTAGGGATCAAACCCAGTGCCTCACATATCTAGGCAAGTGCTCTTCCACTGAGCCACAACGCCAGCCCTTGATAAAGATCTTTAAGGAGATTGAGTAAGGGGAGTAATGTAAGAAAGGTGATTGATTTAGAAAGACTACTCTAAATATGGTGATCAACATGAGTTGTAGGGAGAATGGTGTAAGAAGAACAAAGCATAAGACTCTAAGGCAGTGTGAAATAAGGGTCTGTATGGAGATGGGCACTGGGAAATTTTAGAATGGATATCTACGAGCTGTTGTGAAAAAACAGCTAGAACTTGGCTTCTTGATTTAGAGAAGTGGGGGTTAGAGAGCAGAGTCAGAATTCTTGTTTGGGGCCTGGGTAATCTGTAAAATGGAAAGTACAGAGAATGGAGTATCATGAAGTACAGCTGGTTTCTAGAAAAGGTGATGAATTCAGTCTTTAGCTTACTGAGTTTGAGGCAGAATAAACGTGGAGGTGGATGAAAGGAGACACTGGGAAGACTGGGAAGACAGACATGGTGACCAGTTGGATAGAAGAGATAGTTGAAAATGGTAGTACAAAAACCCTACCAGGGATAATGCTCACACAGAACCGCAGCCGGAGAGAGCGCAGAGGCAGAAAGAAGCATTGCAAAAGTGCTTGGCATTTCATAGGTGCTTGATAAAATACTCTTTAAAGACAAGCAGATGACTAAGAAATGTGGCAGTGACTGCTAGAAAATAGTTGGGATGGGGGAAGTTTTTTCCAGCTGTAGAAGGCATTATGTCTGAAGGTTACAATAAATGGTGCTAGTAAGAATTTATTAATAGTTATCAAGGTGATGCTATATAACTAGACGTTTCAGAAAAGACAAATTTACTCTCTTTAGTTACAGAGTAATTTTCACTCACCAAGAAAATAGGGAGGTGGAATATCACCAAATAATAATAATCATAACGACCATGTGTGAAGTCCCATGTGTAACCATGCTGAGTACTTTATACACTTTCTTTTACTTCTTTCAGTGAGCAAAAAAGGGAGCACTAGAACAGTTAGATTAAATAACTTGTCCACTGTCATGCAACCTTTAAGCAGAATAGCTGGATTTTACATCCAGGGCTATCTACCTGCAGACTGAAAGCCAAGCTTTGGAGTTGTATGGCTTTGAGTTTGGTTCTTGGCTCAGCCATTTATTTGCTGTGCGACATACTGCTCATTCATTACATAAATATTCAAAGCTTACCCTGTGTCAGGTGCCTTGCTATTTACTGTGATTACAGAGTGCCCCCAAAGACTTCTTATTTTGTCAAATAGACAAATAAGAAAATAAGAATCACATTATTGATATCAGTAATACCATATGAATCAGTTAAAGGGTCTGTTTTACTAAAACCTTAGCTGGGCTACATCTATTGATGAATAAAACAGAACTTATGTCTGCCTCAGCATTAGTAGTTGTTTGACCTTGGACAAGTTATTAATTTCTGTTTTTTAAAAAATAGAGACATACTAAAAAATCAGATCCAGATTGCCAGCATAAGGTAGACTGAAGAGCCCTAATTAATTTTATCTTCCATTGCTACCTGTTCCAAATATGATTTATAAAATAAGCATTTCTGATAATTTATGAATTTTAGAAAAATTTTATTCTTAGGTGGCTCACAGGTCATGAGCTGTTACTTTTCTTCACATGGCTTCAACTTGTTTTGTCAGATATTTACTATACCACTCCTTCATATTTATCCTAAAGATCTAAAAGCTCCATACTATGGTGATACACACATACCAATGTTTATAGCAGCACAATTCACAATGCCATGTTATGGTACCAGCCAAAGTGTTTGTCAACGGATGAACTGATAAAGAAAATGTGGTAATAATATGCAGTGTAGTTTTGCTCAGCCATAATGAAGAATGAAATTATGTCATTTGCTGGTAAATGGAGGGAACTAGAGAATATCATGCTAAGTGAAATGATAAGTCAGTCTTTTCAAGGCAAGGGTAGAATGCTTTCTCTGTTTGAGAAAGAGAGAGAGAAAGAGAGAAAGAGAGAGAGAGAGAGAGAGAGAGA